TTTTTAAATATAATTGACAATCACATTTCAGTGAACCGTCAAATTCACATAGTTCACAGTTCTGCACATCTGTTAAACGTAATGATAACTATACAAATATTATTCACACTTCCCGATAATAAGGCTTTAATATGAAGAACAACTCTAGCGAGAGAATTAATATCCTGCTTCCTTCCCTTAAAATGAAGCTGAGGCAAGGCACCTGACACATTTCTTTGGAATGGAGTAAAGAGATTTTCCAGTAAGCACAGAATTCCCCTCTCCTGCGAGATATTTTTTTTTTTACACCGGAAAGAGTCATTACAGCTATGGGGATTGGTCCCAGATTACACGCACGCGCATAAGTAGCCTACACACGCAGGGGCATGCACATGGGCCACAGTTATATTGAAACTACAGTACATTATGTAAAACAAACCGTTCTGTCTGTTTCTCTTCCCTTCCACCAAGCTGTTACCGGCTGCCCTGCAGAAAGCCACACAACAACTGTCCAACAGGCTTCTACTACAGCCACTACGTCTGCCAGTGCATACCCAACCACATGAGGTCAGGGGAGTGGAACTGACAAAGTTGGTGTTATCAGCACTGGCGCCAAACTCCAGGGCCAATGTACTGTAACTGTTTGGTGGAAACGAGGCGGTGTGTTTGCAATATACAGCCGGTAGATGGAGGCTAGACTAGGGGAATCTTTTTTTATAAATTCTCCTTATAGGCCATGATCAAAAGGCTCTCCATCTTCAGACCAGGGAACATAAAAGGAAGCACACTCGCCGTTCCACATTTATCAAAATGATGCAGTCGCCTGGATACTGCAGGTCATGGTGTGAATCATGGACATTATTGACACCGCCTCAGATGAATTATGTGCGGCTGTTAAAATGAGTTAAAAAAAAATCGATTTCTTTCCAATAAAAGGAAATCATTTTCGATGATCTGACATTTATATTTATTGAAAGTTACCCTGCAGCTCTCTGAGATGACAATGCCATGATGTAACTGGGAAGAAACACCCTGACATGAGAAGGAAGACAAAAGACTGAAATGTAAGACCCATGCATATACAGTATTGTACAAAACGTGTGACTATCCTATGAAAAAATGAAAAAAGTGTTTTTAAATGTCTTATCCTATTTGTATCGTATTTAATATACATGCTATTGATAAAATAAAATACAAACTTGATTAGCTTTGGTAAATGTGTACGGTGTGTGTTTGATAAGAGTGTGTTAGAAAGGGCATTGGTTGCATGTCAAGAAGTTTGGCAACAGACTTTGGGAACCAGACCAGACTGGCACCATGGAGTGTGATGTGATGTCTCCAATCACAAAAGAAAGGCATTGAAAACACACACGCCAATTGCAGTGAAAATGGATCCAAGACCTTTGTCTCAAATTCCTCATACCAGCCTTATGTGTTTGGAACAATAAACACTATATCGAGGTGAATTGCAGAGAGATCTAATTCTCGGCTGGCTTGTGACTGTAGAAACTGCCATCCACAGCACATCCCTCTGTACAGACACAGGACTGCATAGCTAAACTCAGTGATAGTAGCTTCTGTTTGTGATAATCCAAATAGTTTGGTTTATACATAGGCCTACAGAGTAGAGACAGTACTTTACGCGGTTGACTTCACTTTTTGTCAAGGGTGATACATGTTTTGTTAGCGGAAAGGTAACTTTCTTTATTTTTACAAGGTTAAATATTGTGAATCTCTCTACAAGGAAAAGCCATTCAATTTCAAGGCTTACATCTCAATCTTAAAGTGTAAATTCATCTCATGACATGACCTTTTCTCTTCCTGCCTTGTGTTGTTCCTAAACCTGGAGCAGCAACTCTTACTTTCCATCAACTCTTCCTGCCTTGTGTTGTTCCTAAACCTGGAGCAACAACTCTTACTTTCCATCAACTCTTCCTGCCTTGTGTTGTTCCTAAACCTGGAGCAACAACTCTTACTTTCCATCAACTCTTCCTGCCTTGTGTTGTTCCTAAACCTGGAGCAACAACTCTTTCTTTCCATCAACTCTTCCTGCCTTGTGTTGTTCCTAAACCTGGAGCAGCAACTCTTACTTTCCGTCAACTCTTCCTGCCTTGTGTTGTTCCTAAACCTGGAGCAGCAACTCTTACTTTCCGTCAACTCTTCCTGCCTTGTGTTGTTCCTAAACCTGGAGCAGCAACTCTTACTTTCCGTCAACTCTTCCTGCCTTGTGTTGTTCCTAAACCTGGAGCAGCAACTCTTACTTTCCATCAACTCTTCCTGCCTTGTGTTGTTCCTAAACCTGGAGCAGCAACTCTTACTTTCCATCAACTCTTCCTGCCTTGTGTTGTTCCTAAACCTGGAG